CACTTTTACTCGAATGAGGATTTCTCACAAAATAAAAATTCTGATCTCACTGAGAGAAGAACAACTCTAAAACGAGAGAATAAAAAAATAGATTTTATTTGTTTTATACATTTTTTGTATGTATTATGAGGATGTGTATGATTTTATTATTTTTTTATACTTGGTTTTGATTAATAATTAGAGATAAAAAATTAAAAAATTAACACTACATTTACACGTCAATACTTATCTACTTTCTGTATTAGTAATTTGAAATTGTATAGAGAACATAAATGTTCTCTAGCCGCTGTTCCCGATTAACCATAGTGACACAACCAACATGAAAATTTTCCAAAATATATATATAAGTATCACGTATATTTCGCCTTGAATTTTCAATGAAAAATTCTATCTGCAGGACCGTGCTCCCTTCATCCGCCGTTTTCAATGGAAAATTCTACACTCAATCAAAAAATCCATCCGGAAAATTCCCTCAACCCAAATCTCCTCTTAGCGCCGCCCCCTTCATCCGTCGTTTGCCTCTTCCCATCGGGAAGCTTTGCACGGTCGTGTCGCGGTCGCCGCATGTCAGGGCCCCCGGCCTCTGCTATGGTTGGGATTTCGCGACCCTTTGGAGCTTTGTCGGGCTGTGTCACTCTGGCGGATCTTCGAAGACGTGGAGCTCCTCGATTCACGGTGGCGGGGCTGGGTGGCTGTCTCTGTCTTCTGCCGGTTGGAGGCTGGAGTTGAGATGAGTCTCATCTTCTAACCCTCCCCTCCCCCCTCCTGCGTCTTTTTTACCTGGGGTTGGTAAGCTTGACCGTGTTGGCTGAGGTTAGCCGAGCCGGTGGCGGCTCTTGATATGTCGTCGGTGGTGTCGGCTCTTGGCCGTTGGGACTTCGTCCTGTTGCTGCATTGGTTGTGTCCTTTGCTCATGTGATTGCAGAGGATTTGGTTGGGGCTGGTTCAATGGGCGGGGCATGGCTCGGGCGGCTCGCTGCTATTTCGCAGTTGATGGGTCTCCTCCTAGATGTGGGTGGAGTGAGCCGGTGGTTGTAAGCTCTAATCTATTCGAACCGCCTTTGAATCGTCTCTAGACCGCCACAAACACCTGCAAGAACTCAACACCGGAAGTGTTTCCGGTGAACAATCTCTGACGCTCAAGTCGGAGTTGTGATGCCATTCTGTCCCTTTTTCTCCTCTGCGCTCTGGTGTTGGGTCAAGGGGCGGTGTTTCTGTTTTTTTGGTTAGTGGTGATTGTCGAGGCAGGGCAGTGGTGTTGTTTGACACCGTTTTTTGGTTAGTGGTGATTGTCGAGGCAGGGCAGTGGTGTTGCTGAGGGCGTTTTGGGTGTTCCCGTGGCTGGGGGCGAGCTGTGCTTACGGTGATGGTCGAGCGCTCTGGTTCTCCGTTGTCTTTGTGCTGTTGGTCGGAGGGGTAGTGCGAGTCTGAGATGACTTCTGTTGACTAGTTCGTGGGTGCATACGTGGGAGAGGTTTTAGGATAAGTATTGGATCTTGTTAGGCATTTTCTGCAGTTTCAGGTGTCAGATGCTTGTCTGGACTTGCTTCTCTTTTGGGTGGGTTCTCTCGGTTGCGGTGGCAAAGTTTATGAGAAGTTTTTTCGGTTGCAAAGTTTATGAGAAGTTTTTTCTGTTGCGGAGGAGGGCTTAGTTCAGGTGTTTTAATTTTGTTCTAGGTGTGTTGTTTGTATGCCTTATGTTGCTAGGTCTCGTGTTTGTGATTTGGCCTTGGCCTTTGTATGTGCCCGAGTGTGAACGGGTATTATCTCTTTGAGATCTTTTTTGTTTATTCTCCTTTTGGGAGTTTGTAGTTTAGTTGTTTTAGTATTTGTCGTGTATGTCGTGTCTTGAGTATTGTGTTTTGGTTTCTAGCGTTACTAGTGTCGGTTCTAGGTGGGCTTCAATTCCGACCTCTCATTTTATTTAGCTTTTGGTTGTATTACTCGGCAAGGATTCTATCTTTGAACATTTGTGGTTTTATCTATAAAGGTTTTCCGAAAAAAAAAAAAATATGTAAAACTATTTTACTAAATATAATACATTACAATTTTGTTGTGATCTGAGATTATTAAGTTTTGTCACTGTTGTGTAATAGTTTAATATATAATTTATTGGTGATTAAAAATTTTGACCATAATCAATTAAAAAAATTGCCAATGAATAAAGATTAAGATATTGTTATATATATGACCTCTACATAGATATAATGACATGTAATTAAAAAAAATTCATAATCAGAAATGATTTATTTTATTTTGTTTTTGTATGATTAAATTTAAACTTTATTTAATGCTTAATATAATCAAAATGACCTCGCTCGAACATGATGGTAAAAGAGCAGTACCACTACCATGTGCCCTGGCACACCTAGCTAGGTGTGCCAGGGCACATTTGCACGCGCCCCTTTACTCCCCAAAACTTCCCAATACTAGAGAAATTTGGAGAGTGTAGTTCACATCCCTAATTTTCCTTTTTAATTAAAAAAGGGACATATTACATAAATTAAAATATCATTAATTATTTATATTAAAAAAATAAAATAAAAATACCAAAATTCATAATTTTTCATTATCTATAAATAGAGACCACATTTGATAGGTTTTTTAACACAATTAATTTTTCGTTTGTTCATATTTTTTCATAATTTTTCGTAATTATTTTATTATACTGACATATAATGAACATGTTACATAATAAAATGAATATGTTTTCAAATATGATGAACATGTTACAGATTGTAGATTGAAACAATACATATTCATCTTATTTTGTCACATGTTCACTTTATTGTGTATGTAACATGTTCATCTTATTCTATAACATGTTCATTTAATCATGTAACATGTTCATCTTATTATTTAACATGTTCATTTTATTACGTAACATGTTCACCTTATTGTACATGTAACATGTTCATCTTATTATATAACATGTTCATTTTATTATGTAACATGTTCATCTTATTATATAACATGTTCATTTTATTATGTAACATGTTCATCTTATTCTATAACATGTTCATTTTATTTATGTAACATGTTCACCTTATTGTGCATGTAACATGTTCATCTTATTCTATAACATGTTCATTATATTATGTAACATGTTCATCTTATTCTATAACATGTTATTTTATTATGTAACACGTTCATCTTACTTTAGAACATGTTCATCTAAATTTAATTTGTGTAAATGTAACATTTTCATCTTATTCTATGACATGTTCATCTTACTCTATAACATGTTCATTTTACTATGTAACATATTCATCTAATTATAGATTTGGGTCATAATCTTCTAATAAGATAAATTAATTGTAAAAAATGATAAATTAATTGTGTTCCAAAAAATATCAAATGTGGTCTCTATTTGTAGAGAATGAAAAATTATGAATTTTGGTATTTTTATTTTTATTTTTTGATACCAAATATAAATGATAATTTAATTTATATAATATGATAAATGAAATTCATTACTCAATAAAAATGGGACACATGTCACATTTAAAAAAAAGCACTTACCACCTTACCTCACTCACGCGCCTGTAGAAGAGATGTATTTCACATAAGGCCTTGGCACACCTTGCTAGGTGTGCCAGGGCACACGTAAGTATTTGCCGTAAAAGAGAGTAGTATTTTTTAAAAATTTAACAACTAATAGATTCTTATCAAATGTTACAAAAAGAAGAAAATATTGTATGGAATATCATACAATATCAGAATAACAAGAGGAAAAATACATAGTATATTACACACAAATATATATATATATATATATATATATATATATATATATGTATATAAATTTCACGCATTCATTTAGCTTAATGCATTTTATGAGATTTTTCAAAACAAAAAAATCATAACAATATTAAATAAAAAGAAAATTTTATGCTAAAAAAGTCTACCATTGAGTAATATTTATTACGGTATACATATAACAACAACATACCCAGTATATTCTTAACTGGTTGGGGTCTAGGTGGTCAGTTGTACGCAAATCTTACCCTTGTAATTATACAAGGAGGCTGTTTCTGTAGCGACCCAAAGTGCATTGCGTCGTTTGATATATTTTTTTATTTTAAAACTTCTCTAATAGAAGAAACACTGGAATTTAATTGAGTCATTTTGATCTAGTCCATTATTAGTACTATGTCAGGAGAATTGTCAACAATGACTCTTCCAGCTCCATTTGCAATAGACAATTATTACGGTATACATAACTAAATAATTTAATTTGTAACGTATTGGTGATTGAATTTTTTTTCCATAACTCGATAATTTAAAATTGACAAACTAGTACATCGAAAATTTTCATATGAATTAACTTTATTTTATAATTCTGGTTATTAATGTGAATAATAATTTATTTTAATTTTTTTTGTGTGATTTAAGTCTAAACTTTTATTTAAAACCTTAGTATAACCATATTGACATCGCCTGTATATGTGCAAGTGCATGGACATGAGTACTAATATATATGAACCAGAACCATGGGCAAGGGTTTTGTTCCTAAATCAACCGGCCTGAACCAACCAACAATTAACTGTACAATTTGACCCGGTGACCACGCAGACGCAAACTTCACCTGTACTGACCGAGCAGAATTGTAACAAAATAGTGATTGAATAGACGCAATAAGATAAGAAATGAAGGCCCGTGCAACCACAATTAAAAAAAAAAAAAAAACATACATATAGAAGACAGAGGGGGTCACGGTGAGAATCCAACTGGTCAATTATATAAAGAGTTGTCGTCTTAAATGTGGTTTTGTGGAGTCAGTTGCCGTCTTAAATGTCATATCAAAAAATTGGTGAACTCAGCTAACAGCCTATTAAGCATCTCATGTTGAATAACATAACAGATCGTGTTCTTTAGTTTGACATCCTTTTCTGGTTTGTATAGATGATGAAAGACGAAAGTCCGTTCTAGAAAGTAAGTCTGCGAACACTACCCTTCATCTGGATTGTTGTACACAAAGTGAGCATCACAAAGTCGAGCTAAACCCAGGGATTATTACTCTTCTTTCTTGTTCCGCTTCTTTTTGAGCTGGATGTGGAGCCAGCTTTCTGCCAACCGAAGACTCATTATGTCAATTTTTTGTGGAAAAAATATAGTATGATGTTCGCATGCACGTTTTTTTTTTTTT